GTGGTGCTGGAGGAGACTCCTGCGAGTCCCTTGGACCGCAAGGCGATCAAACCGGTCAGTCCTAGAGGAGATCAACCCTGACTGCTCTTTAGAAGGCCAGATACTGAAGATGAAACTCAAATACTTTAGTCACCTAATGAGAAGGAAGGACTCCCTGGAGAAGAGTCTAATGCTGGGAACAATAGATGGCAAAAGAAGACGGGGACGGCAGAGGATGAGGGGACTGGATGGAGTTGCTGAAGCAGTTGGTGTGAGCTTAGGTGGACTCTGGGGGATGGTGGAGGGCAGGAAGGCCTGGAGGAATGTTGTCCATGGGGTCGCGATGGGTCGGACACGACTTCGCGACTAACAACAACAACAACCACCTAGAACCCTCCTTTGCCAATCAATTTCCTTGAAGTAGTCTCACTAGCTCCTTTCTTCATTGTTGCTGGCCCATTAGAGCTTTCACTGCAAGGAGAAAGATTCTGTGTGTCCATCTTCATGCTGATGATTGGCGGCAACCAGAAGGATCACACATTGCTACTTCAAAACAGAAATCAGAAAGGAGCCCAAAATTTGGCACACACGGCATTGAAATGACTCCAAGCGACAGCTCCAAAGCAGCACCCTGAGCATTCATCTTGGCAAAGGCTCTTCTGGATGGAATGTGGTCTCATCTTAAAGGAGATCCCCCCAGTTGGAGCTTGTGGGGATGAACACTTTCTCAGCAAGGAATGAATTCATTCGGGAGTTCAGCAATTAAAAGCTGTGCTTCTGCAAAGTGGCCTCTGGATGGCAGCAGAGGATCAAGAATGGCATGCAAGACAACCCCACCAAAGGAAGGACAGAAAACCGTCTAGAGGGCCAGTCTGGGTGCTAGCTAGTCCTTCGGGCAACCTGAGTTTATCCCCTTCTAGGAACATATAGCCAGCTTCCGTGTATATCTTCCATTCCTTCCCTTTGTGTCCCTGGAAACACATAGGAATGGAGAAAGAGATCAGTGCTGGGTTTTCTCCTTTGCCTTGCCTAACTCATTCGGTCCCCTTTATGCCCAGCTGTCTTCCCCGCTCCCTTTTTTTTAAATACAGAAGAAAAATAAATACAACATATCACAACATCAATACTATGACGTACAAAAGCTCAACTAATAATCGAAAAAGTAAATAATACAGTGTCTCCACCACCCTGGAGACCAATAATAACTCCACTTTAATTCATGTTGTTGTTGTTAGTCGCAAAGTCACGTCCAACCCATCGCGACCCCATGGACAACACTCCTCCAGGCCTTCCTGTCCTCCACCATCCCCCGGAGTCCACCCAAGCTCACACCCACTGCCCCAGTGACTCCATCCAGCCACCTCATCCTCTGCCATCCCCTCCTTCTTTTGCCATCTATTGTTCCCAGCATCAGGCTCTTCTCCAGGGAGTCCTTCCTTCTCATTAGGTGGCCAAAGTATTTGAGCTTCATCTTCAGGATCTGGCCTTCTAAAGAGCAGTCAGGGTTGATCTCCTCCAGGACTGACCGGTTGGATCGCCTTGTGGTCCAAGGGACTCTCAGGAGTCTCCTCCAGCACCACAATTCAAAGGCCTCAATCCTTCAGCGCTCAGCCTTCCTTATGGTCCAGCCTTCACAGCCATACATTGCAACTGGGAAAACCATAGCCTTGACTATACGCACTTTTGTCGACAGGGTAATGTCTCTGCTTTAATTCATGTAACAATTTATATATGTATACGTAAGACTGTGTGTGTGTATACACACACACACACACATATATATATACACACTTCAATTATATTCATATCCCCTCCATAAATTCATATAATCTTGAACAGATTTACAACCTTTACCTCCTATCAGTACTGCTTTTACAAAATCTTCCGATATTTCATTATATTGATTTGCTTCAATAACCCTTTTTAAATCTTTATTTCTGTTGTCAGTTATGCCCAGCTGTCTTGAACCAGACGTTCTCCTCCAAGGCTTCTCCAAGGAGTAGCAGATACTGTCTCCTTTGTCCATTGCTTTTATATCCAGCCTTTCCTCCACATGGGCAGCATGGTGCCCGTGCCACTTCTGATCCCTCATGCTTATCCTCATAATAAAACCGTGGAGTAGTTCTAAGGTCACTCAGCAAGTGTTTCATGCTCAAGAGAGGATCTGAAGTGGTCCTTCTCTGCTCCTGCTCCAGCGCTCTTCAACATCTCACCCATCGGCCACCGTTTCCTCCTTTTTTCTGCCTTCCCTCCCTTTCAGAGGACATGGTATCAATGATACACGTAAGGGGAGATGCTGGGTCAATCAACAGGCCATGGCTGGAGAGAAAGCCCTTGGTTCACATGATCACAGCAACCCACCATGCCATCTTAGCCATGGCAGGTTGCCAGCTGAAGTCCCCGCCACTCCAGCCTGTGTTGTCCAACCTAATGAAGGTGGCTTGTGAGGTGGTAACAAACGCCTGCAGAACTAGCCCTGGGTTCTGGATGGTTTGTTACCCACACCAAACAGAAATTATGACCCAGCCTAAACCACAGAGCAAAAAATCAATTGGGATGAACCAACTGGTGAAGGCAGACAATGGTGAACATCTGATATACTTATATAAATCTCACAGACGGCAAATATACAGTCGTGGACAAGAGAAGAAAGTGCAAATGGTTTGTGTTTGGAATTTGTGGGAGAGTCAGGTTTTTAATGTTCTCTGTCTTCACTGCTTGTTCATCTCAAATCATCTCTTGCTTTTGGCCTGCCGTGTGCTCCAAGTCACCCTTCCTGGGCTCAGACACCACGAGAAGCTGCCCCCACCAAGGACAATGATGGAAACCAGTCATTATATACAGGTTTGGTTTAACAAGCTACTATGGCTTGATCAGGGACTGCAGGTGGCGCAGTGGGTTCAACCGCTGTGCTGCTGGGCTGGCTGATCGAAAGGTCGTCAGTTCGAATCTGCACAACGGGGTGAGTTCCCGTTGCTCTGTCCCAGCTCCTGCCAACCTTGCAGTTCGAAAGATTGCAAATGCAAGTAGATGAAAAGGTACCGCTTCGATGGGCAGGTAACAATGTTCCATGCACCTCGGTGTTTAGTCATGCCGGCCACATGACCACGGAGACTGTCTGCGGACAAGCACTGGCTCCCTCGGCCAGGAAACGGAGCTGAGCACCGCCCCCTGGAGTCAGGCATGGCTGGATGTAACGTCAAGGGGAAACCTTTACCTTTATGGCTTGATCATCATTCCATGATGGTATGAACAGGGTCACCAACGGTGCACATGGGGAGAGGTGATGACCCTGTAATCTCCCATCCAAATACTGATGGGACCCAAATACTGATCCCAGCCAGACTTCAGCAAAACACCTGCATTCCGCGCCCTGGCTCATCAACCTTAGGCCATGGGGGAAAGTGGAAATTCTGTTTGATTGTGTGAGAACTCGAGATGAAAAAAACTAAAATTACACCACATAAAACAATCCTGTTTCAGAACATTATTTTCCTTTTAATAAACATACAAAATTTAGTGCAAACCAAGGGAGATTCTATACAAAGCACCGCAAGGGAATTAAGAAAAGGTCCAACGGGCCTCCCATCTCCAACAGTTGAGGAGGTGTTAACATGGCACCCCAGAGCAGGTACCAGTGTGCGTCTGAACGGAAGGCCACGACTCTTGATACGTCCAAGGAGAAAGGCCAGGCAGATGTTTCTGCACCTCCAATCACTCTCACTCCTGCCCCATCTCAGCCCAAAGCTTCATAGAGGGAGAAGAGCAGATCCAAAGTGCCCCAACAACCATCTTAATCCAACAATAGTTAGTAGGGATTGTATGGGGTGGTGAGAAAAAGAGGAGGGAACACACGATATGGGATGAAGGATGGACAACCCCATCCGTCTTGTGGTGCATTTTGCCTCCACTAGATGGGGCAAAGAGATTCTCAGCCGTCTGTGCTCCAGAACGACCCTCTCCGTCTCCTTCACTTGCCTTAGCAAGAGAATTCACTGGCATGCCGCGAAATGTATCTACCGCCTGCATCTTTTCGGGGCTGAATAAAAGGACAGAAGCAAAAGGGGCTGCAGTGAATCATGGAAGAATTAAGGGAGGTATTAAAGCACACACTCCGTGAAATTCCCGTCCCAATGGCGAACTCCTATCTGGTGAGGGTGCCTTTTATCTTTGCAAAGGTCGTAACCCAGGGCTGTGATTAGTTCCAACACTGTGCTATTGTTTGAGATGTCTGGCTACCCCTACGGTTCTTGGGTATTCCTCTTTTGGAAGGGCACTCAATAATGGTAGATGCCTCCAAACCCCCATTAAGGACACTCGTGGGCTGTGGGTCATGCCAGAGCTCCTACAGGCCTTGTTCCCGTCACCTGTTGGTGACCACAAGCGTCCCATTCAAACGCAATTGGTCAGCGCATTTTAACAGAACACCGTTATATATTGGTGCCTTCTGAAGGAAAGGAAGGATTCCCTGCTTGATCGGGTTCCCTGATTTAGCTGAGCTTGAAGATGGCATCTGCCAGAAGGAGAAGCCACTGGTTCTCTTCCAGGATCACAAGCCAAGCGTCGGGGCCAAATGGAGCAGCGTGATCCCCGGTGTTACTAGCGTGAGGTCAGGGAAGTGATGGAGATCAGAAGTGTTTTTCCTGGCACAAAATACGTCGGATGGTGTTGCAGGACTGAATAAAAGGGGGGAGGGCATAACAGCACCCGGGGGAGGTGGGAAACAGCGGGGGAAGGATCCAAGAGAATAGACAGGAGAATTCTAGGACAAAAGGCCAGACAAGGATGGCAGAACCAACTGCATGGTGCAGCATAAAGCAAAGAGAAGCCACAGGGAAGCAGGAGAAAATAATATCGTTAGAACGTGGATTAACCCAACACAGGAGGGCCTGCATCCTTTAAGTAAAACGAAGATTTCAGGAGCCAGTCAAGCCGGGGATTTCAGGGGAAGGGAGAAATCCTCCAGGGCCAGCTTGCGTCCAACTCAAGAGGAGCTGGAGTCTCCGCTCCTTGGGGCACATGAAGGGGGGGTCTTGCGCATCTTGTGCATGTCCCAACAAGCAGGTCACGGAGGTGCCACAGCAAGCTTCTTTCTGCATCTGGATCGGGGGGTCAATCCACCGAGTCGCAGATCCGTTCCACTGCGGCGTTAAAGGCGTGGGGCTGGTCGGCGTAGACGTGGTGGGAGGCTCCCGGAATGGCCTGCGAGGGTCGGGAGTGGGGCGGAAGACAGAACAACATGTAAAGCCCTAACCGGCTTGGGGCCAGGCGATGTAAGGGAACCCCTTTCCCCAGATGGACCAGGCCGGTCACTGTCGCCTTCGCCCAAGGCTCTCCTCCGTATTCCTCCCCCCAGTGAAGGGATGGGGGGTTTGCAAAGAGGAGACCTTTCTCGGGGACAGCACCCCGACTTTGGAACTCGATCCCGTTGGAGGTCCGGGTGGTGCCCACCCTTTTGTCCTTCAGGTGCGAACTAAAGCCGTATTTGCTCCATGGTTATTTTAATGAAGTGAATGCTGGATTTTTCACGGATGCTTAATTTTTATGCTTTGTGCTGCTGCCAATACGTTTTAAATGCTAGGTGTCGAGACTGTTAAATTTTAATGGCTTTTGTCCTATTTTGGGGTTTGGTATTGTTTGTTTGTTTGTTTAAAGCCTTTAAAAACTTTTAGAATTTTAAAATCCGAATTCACGTTCCTACCATGTCACAGACATAGCTCCCCGGCCGCAGCTGCTTGACCTTCTCCCCGGTGCTGGTATCGATCCAGGAGTTGGCGCCGTAGATGAGGGTGATGGGCAGGTCCCGCCGGACCAGGTGGATGCGCTCCAGCATGGGCCGCCGGGCCCAGCCGAATGCCTCTGTCATGGCCTTGAACCCAGCCTCGCCGCTGCGGAAGAGGGTGACACGGAAGGCGGGGGAGGAGGAGGTTATGGGAGACGGCTCGGTCCAGTGCTACCCACACCACTGCTCAAGGTGGGGACTGAGGGGCCCAGAACTGAACACAAGTCTCCAGCTGCAGGTGCACCAGAGTCGTACAGAGGGAGAGTAATACTATTCGTTAACTTTAATCTATTTTATGGCATTCAGAGGCTTCCTTCCTCCCAGGGAGGAGAAAATTTGGGTAGCACTCACAAGGTCCCTAGCACTCTCCCATCCAGGCACTGGACCGGCCGACCCACCATGGCTGCAACCCGCGTGCTCAGCTTTGACCCAGCACTGTTGCCCGATCAGCTGGGCCCCCCCCCCTTGCACGAGGGGAGCACGCCTCCAAAAAAGCACTGCCGGGAGCAAGGGCAGGGGGGTGTCAGCTTTGTTTGGGAGAGGTTTGATCTTCCCACTGGGCTGTACTTCCCCACCACATGCTCCATACTTCCACACAAACATGGGCCCCACAGCAGAGTGCTTGGAAGCCACTGGCCTTGCTTAGCCACCTTTCAAGGCCAAGGTGTGGAAGCCGCTCACCTGGGTGTCTGGGCATTGCAGTGATAGATGTATTCTGAGATGGTATCGTCGTCAAAGAAATCGGCAAATTTCTGCTTAAAGTCCGGACGGAAGCGTTGCACCAACCCTGGACCTGGAAGGGAAAGACGTTTCCAGTGGGCAGGTGCACAGAAAAATTTTCCTTAAGCTTCAGAAGTCTACAGAAGCACCTTCCTAATCTGAAGCAGGTAACAGCCTTCATTTTAAAATACGATTTTTTTAAAAAAATATTTTTTTATTTTATTTATTTATCTTTCGATTTATATCCTGCCTTTTTCCGACAAAGGGCTCAAGGCAGCTTACATCATTCTCCTCCCCCATCTTATCCCCACAACAACCACCCTGTGAGGTAGGTTGGGCTGAGAGTCTGTGACTGGCCCAAAGTCACCCAGTTGGCTCCATGGCTGAGCAGGGACTCGAACCCAGATCTTCTGAGTCCCAGTCCCATGTTCTTAACCACTACACCACCCTGGCTGGAAAAATCACCTTTCCAAAAAGAAAATCCGCTGCCCCCAAGGGGGCTTCCAGCAAGAACTAGTTCCTTGCATTCACCTTCAAACCCACCTCTACCCATTTTACAGCTGGGAAAATGGAGGCAGAACACTAGTTTTTTACTGAAGGGCATCCCACAAGTATACCAATCATGCGAGGTCTGGGAACTGGGTCTCTTAGCTCTGCAGCTCTCTCTCCGATCCGTGCACACAATGCCTATCTATATTTAATTGGAGTTCAAAAAAGAGAAGGTAGTCTTTGGTCTTTAAAGAATTCCAAAATCTTTGGGAGAGCCAGGGCAGCATGTGGGGCTAGAATGTTGAACTGGGGCTCAAAGATCGGGGCTCTATTTTCACTCAGCCATGGAAATCTCTGGGTCCCATTGGGCCGAGCCTGAACTCTTAAAGTAAATCTCCTTACAAGAGTGTCGTGAGGATCAGAAGGGAAAGGAAGATTATGTAAGCTACTTTGACTTTCTTGCAGGACAGAAGTAAGATAGCATGAAGTGATGAAATAAGTATCAGGCCCACAACAAAGCGAATGACCAAAAAAAAATACAATCTAACCTGCCTGGAGTGCATCGCTTTGGAATGACTGCCATGACGAATGCACTGGCCTCCATTGGATTTTGGGATGACTCAGAATTCGGTCCCCCTCAATCGGCCATGGTCCTTCCCCGCAGGCAAAGCAGAGGAGCTTGCAAGGTTACTGGGAGAAGTAGGCTGACCACGGTCAGAAGCAGGGTGCTGGGGCATGTGGACCTTTGATCTGAAGCATTGGGGCACACTGAGGCAAGTCTAAAGCTCTCCCACCGTCGGGTTGGGCTGTCTGTCCATTCTGTTGATTGCCTCTCCACTCCAGTGTTCCCCAGCTGGGGCCTTCCAGGTTTTTTGGACAACTCCCAGCATCCCCATCCATTGGCTGGGGCTGATGGGAGGTGCAGACCAAATACCTGGAGGGTGTTAGAAGGGGGAAGGCTGCTGTGCCATGAGATGCGGCAACTCTCCATATCCTTCTTCCACCACCCGGCTGTTCGACAGTCTAAGGGGTCCCATTCTACACAGACTTAGACGGAAAACTGCAGCTCCAGCATGGCTGACTGGTGCACACTGGGAACAACTGGCCGTTTCCCTGTCCAAGCACGCACAGGATTCTTCCTTACGAGACTCAGCTATGACTCTGGAAGTCCCTGAGCCGAATCTCACCTCTACCACGAACTTCCCAGGTGGCCTTTCGCAAGCTTCTCCTCACACCTGCCACACAGGTGACAACACGGGCCTACCTGACCCAGTTGCTGCATGAACCACGACTCGACAAGGCACGTGACTCACTCTGAACGCTCGGACTTCAGCTCACAGCAGTCCAGGCCAGCATGACCAACCCTCAGGAGTCCTGGGTGTTGTGGTCCAAGACGTGCAGAAGGGACCAGGACGGGGAGAGGCCAAGCGATGCCGGCACCACGGCTTGCGGGCAGCCGAAGGAAACCCGGACAGGCCTCGTCAGGCCCCAGCCATCCCACAGGGCTACTGAGACATCTGTGTGCGCATAACCACGCCCCGTACTCCCCCGGACCCTCTGCCCCGTTGCCGGCTTCACTAACCCCAGGGACCGGCTGCCCGGAGCACGGCCAGAGGGTTGGATCGTCCCAGGACTGTTGCCACAGCCTTCACCCAGGTTGGAGGAGTCCGGATCTGCGCAGGGTCCGACGGCCGTGTGGGGAAGCCCCAGGGGTCCACAAGGATCAGATGCTTCACCCTGGGTTAGGAGGCACGTGAAGACAGGATGATATGCCGGAGACCAGCCACAGGTCCAGCTGTTCACACATTTGAAAACCATCTCCCGCCATCCAGGCATCTATCTATATTTACTGAGCTCTGAATGCAGGAAAACGAGAAAACTAATCTTCTAGTCCAACCATTTATTCATCATCATCATCATCATCATCATCTTCATCATCATTATTATTATTATTTACACTTGCATGCCACACCCTTCACCATGAAGCTCTCTGGGCAGCTTGCATTCCACTACTGAGATTCGGGGAGGGTAGATGGGTTGACCTGAGGCCTGTTTGCTTGGTCTGACCTTTGGTTCCTGCTAGGAGGATGCTCCCAGGGAAGGGAAAGAACTCAAGAGAATCCGATCCCATGCTGTCCATCTCTTTCCCAGTTCCTGGGCTTAGAGTTATAGACTAGGGCGGTGAAGCTAAGTCGGGGGCATGGAACTTCATCCCAGGTCAAATCTGGCCTTCTGAAGTTCTCCAGATGGCCATGAGCAGAATGGACAGGTCGAACTCTTCTATACCTCCTGCTTGAAGGGTGTGAGGGACCGACGTGTAAATGGAGGGCTGGAGAGGATGGAGGATCAGTCTGATGCAGCATGGTTTTCCTCATGTTCTTACGTCCCACTTCCTGGCTCCGTTCACATCTCCCCACCCATTACCAGTTCGGGGTTTTCCTGGCATCTGTGCCTTCCCCCACCCCATTTCAAAAGGCTGAAATGCTTCTTCTGAGGCCTTGTCACAGGCAGCAAAGAGGCTGGTTATAGTTTTGCATTCTTGGTCCACCTATCCATGGACTGCAGTGCCCGAAGCTTCTCTTAAATGGAAGGAGGCCTTCCAACTGTAAGGGCTTCTGCACCTCTGGTCTAAGTAAATACATCTTGCCACCTGCATCGCTCAGTTTCAAAAGGGAACCCCCCGGGAGATGGGGAGGGTTCTAACCAGGTCATCCATGCACAGAGAAGGGCTCACGGCCACAGCACTGTTACCAAAAACAGCAGGTAAACCCACAGGCAGACTCACCTCTCCGGGTGCTGCAAGCTGTAGGAAGCTGCCAGGAAGCCCCCAAGACTGTGGCCCAGCAGGATCATGCTGGGAATGCCCATCTCCTGGCGCCAGGCTTCGATGGAGTTCACAAACTCCTCCTCCGCCCCTTGGGGGTCCCGAGGGAAGGGGGGCCGGGAGCTGCGTCCAAAGCCGAGGAGGTCGAAGGCGTGGAGGGGGCGGTATTTGCTCAGGGGATCCAGGTTGAGGATCCACAGCCCGACGCCCCCACCAAAGCCATGCACCATCACCAGGGGGGTACGCCCCTTGCCCCGCTCAGGAGACAGCGACAAGGTCCAGATCTTGGCCTGGTTGGGGAGGGATACGTAGCGGGCCACGAATCGGTTCTGGAGGCCTGTGGGGACGGAAGGAAAGGACACAAGGGCGATCAGAGATCGAGGCATCCCCAAGCTCATAAAAATACAGCAGCAGCCCCAAGACCAACATTTCAAAGGACACAGCGATGGATGAAGGCAAGAATTATTTTCCCTCAAAATGTGATGGAGCACAGATCTACCCTGCCTGATGATAAGGCCCTGTCACCTGAAAAGATTTTCTCTTTTAATTCACTTCTTCTGGATGCAGTCCCAATGTATTTTAGCATGCATTCTGCTGCTTTCTGTTACTCCTACAATCTTTTGTGAAAAAGTTGCTCCACCGTTCATCTGGGGCATTAAGAATTGTGTACAAAGTGAAAAGGGCCACAGCATTCAGCCTAAGTGTTAAAAAAAAATCCCTTAAAAGGTATGTCTTCACCTGGCACTGAAGGAAAATAAAGGCGGGGCCAGGCGAATTTCCCTAGGGAGGGAGTTCCAAAGATGGGGGTGGCAGCAGAAAAGGCCCTTTACCGGGTTGCCACCCTTTTCATCTCCCTGAGGGGTGGTTTTCATAGAAAGACCTCCTGAGCTGATCTAAGGGGGCAGGTAGGCATATATATGGGTGCAGATGCTCCTTTAGATAGCCGGGCACCTTAACCCATATGCCTGGTGCAGCTCAGACTGCTGGGTCATGCAAATAAATAAAGGAGACCAAGGGGGTCCTGGCACTGCCCAAGGATACCAGTCCTGAAGCTGCAGTCCAAGGAGAGGGGACCCAACTCTTCCAGCCCTCCATGGCCCTCATTATCGTTTTGCTGCAAAGTCGTGCCTGATGGACAACATGACCCCATGGACAACACTCCTCCAGGCCTTCCTGTCCTCCACCATCCCTTGGAGTCCACCCAGCCCCACACCCACTGCCCCAGTGACTCCATCCAGCCACCTCATCCTCTGCCGTCCCCTTCTTCTTTTGCCTTCAATTGTTCCCAGCATTAGGGTCTTCTCCAGGGAGTCCTTCCTTCTCATTATTTATTTATTTATTTGTTTATGAAAACATTTCTATGCCGCCCCTGGCCGAAGCCTCGGGGCGGCTCACAACATTGAATAAAATACACAATAAATTAAAACAGTAACAATTAAAATATTTACAGTAGAATAAAATAAGCCGCCCTGGCCAAATAAAATTCAATAATATTAACATTTAAAATGCTGCTTAAATAAAAAGGTC